ATTCGTGGACTCTGGGGGTGCTGGCGTTGAGGAGGGTGCTAGTCCTTGGGTTCCTCTCGGGGCTTGTCCCGGCGGGCCTGGGGGTGGCACCGGTGCTGGAGAGTGTTCTCGCTCTGGGGGTGCCCGTTCTGGGGGTGCTGGAGTGGAGTGTTCCGGAGGTAGCCATGGTGCAGCAGGCAGTTCATGTGTTGGCGTCGGGCAGCAGCAGCAGCAGTCGCTGCCGGTGTCCGCCATTCGCCTTCTCGGCCTTCCCTCCCCTGACCGCTCACCTGCGCCTCCCCCGCCGCCTCGTCCTCTTCTTGTCTACGGCCCCGTGCTTCCTCCGCCGGACTCGTCTCTGGCGCACCTTCCCCCTCGTTCCCCTCGTGTGTCTCCTCCACTGTCCTCTGACCTGACGCCTCCCTCTCACGTCTGGTCTCGCCGTCCCTCTCTTGCTCGTCCTGCCTCTCCTGTTCAGCATTCTCACCATATATTGCTTCGTTCCCACGCGTCTCGTCCTCCTTTTCTGCCTTCGCCTCCTCCGTCGTCGCTCGTTGTCGCGCCTCCCCCTCTGTCTGACTACCTTCGTGCCGCTAGTCCACTTGTTCCTCAGGTCCTTGCCTCCCTCGTTACAGACCCGTCCGTCCCTTTCTCCAGTCTTGATGCTTTTGTCGCTGCCATCGCTGACTACGCCACCGCTCTGGTCTCTGACCCTGTCTGCCCTCCGTCCGTCGGGGGTGCGTCTGCCCTCGGCAGTGACGTCTTGGAGGACGGGCAGTACGAGCTTGCTTTCCTGTCAGAGGCTGCTCCCCATCTCTGTTCCATGCTGCTAGTCCCTGAGGGTGACCCCTCGCACTTAAGCTGAGGCGACTTCGGGATCCTGGGCCTCTCAGTGGATAGCTGCCATGGAGCAGGAGATGGCATCTTGGAGATCCACCGGCACCTACGTCGACGTAGTTCCCCTACTTGGGGTGAACGTAGTCGATGGCCGGTGGTTCTTCAAGGTGAAGCACCCTCCTAGAGAGCCGCCTATGTTCAAGACGCGCTACGTGGCTAGAGGCTTCAGACAGCGAGAGGGGGTGGACGTCCTTCAGACCTTTCTTGACACCGAAGATGACTACTTTTCGGGCTCTACTGCACGTAGCAGCACAGCGTGACTACGAGCTCCACTCCCTCGACTTCTCCACTGCTTTTCTCCAGGCCAGCCTACAGGAGCAAGTCTACCTGCGCCGTCCGCAGGGCTTCACCGGTACTTTCCCTCCTAGGACCCAGTGGCTCCTCCGGCGCCCAGTCTACGGCCTGCGACAGGCGCCCTGTGAGTGGCACGACACTCTACGTGCTACGCTAGCTGACCTACAGGTCTTTCCGTCCTCTGTAGACCCCTCGCTCTTCATTCGTGCTGGCCAGACTCCGTTCTACATCCTTGTCTACGTAGACAACCTGGTCTTTGCTACTGCTGACAGAGACGTGTTGGCTTCTGTGAAGGCCGAGCTGCTGAGGAGACACACCTGCACTGACCTAAGAGAGCTGCGCCGCTAGCTTGGCCTCCAGATCTCCAGGGACAGAGCAGCGCGCACTATCAGTCTCACACAGTCACAATTGGTGCGCCAGGTCCTTCAGAGGTTCGGTCTTCAGTTCTCCCCCGTACAGCCCGCACCTCTACCAGTAGATCACATGCTCTCTGCTCCACTTCCTGAGGAGTCAGTAGAGCCCACTGGTCCTTACGCAGATCTGGTGGGTTGCCTCATGTACCTGATGACTTGCACTCGTCCAGATCTCGCATGCCCTTTGAGCATCCTGGCTCGCTTTTGACCAAAGGCTGACACCGACCACAGCACTGGTCGGCCGCTAAGAGGGTTTTGCGTTATCTTGCAAGTACATCGGGCTTGGGGTTAGTGCTTGGAGGACGCAGGCCAGTGGTCCTTGCTGGGCATACAGACGCTTCTTGGGCAGACGATGCTGAGACCCTCAGGTCCTCTCAGGGCTACTGCTTTAGGTTCAGGTGCCATCTCGTGGGGTCCACTCGCTCCTTGTCTGTTGCCCAGTCTAGCTGTGAGGCTGAGATATTTACTAAGGCGCTTGCGTTTAGAGATTATCAGCGGCACTATTTGAGCTTGGTATAATTCCTGTAGACTCTCACTTGCTAGGATCTTGATTGTGTACTCCTCTTATATATATCTTTCAAACTGGCCTTGTGGCTTCTCTTCCAGTGGCCGGAGTAATAGTGCCGCCCTGGTTTGCACCTGTCTTGTTTGTACTCTTGCTGACTGGTCTTCGGACCCCTGTCTGAGAGATTGGACTAGTAGTGCCACCCTGAGCTGTGTGCTTCTTGCTTAGCACCACCCCTTATATAGCCTAGGGGGTGTGTCAACTTATACATACATTTGCATGTGGAAGTTATAGGCTAAAATAGGTGTGTCTTTTTAGAGAGTACAACCCAAACTCTATATCTCCCTTGTTCTCTCTTCTTGCTAATCATTCTAGAATTCTAACACTACTTAGCCTACCATTATATATACCTCAAGCCTACCACACCTCCTAGGCTTGGTAGTTGAAAGCCCACCACACACACAGCACACTAAGCCACGCACCCCCTAACACCCCCATACTCAGCACTAGCGACGACTACTCTAGCATGGTCAACCCCACGGCGCGTGAGGCGGCGACGTCGACAGCGAGGGCAGCGGCTGCAACGATGGCGACAGTGGCAGCGTCGACAGTGGCGTGCGGCGGCATGGCCAGCGGCACCAGCCGCGGCGGCAGCAGCTTAGACGATAGCTGCCGGCAGCAGCGGAGCTCGCAGCACTCGGCGGCGTGGCCGGGCTACGCGGCGGTGGGACGGCTGGCGCAAGTCAGCCGTCGACTGTGGCGAGGAAGAGGGGACACAGGGGAGGGGGGGGGGGCTTCAGCAGCGGAGCCCGGGAGCGTGCCGCCCCGTGTGACGCGATGGCTGTATGCGGGCGTGCTGGCCAGCGGTAAGACGGGGCGCTGGCCGCTGGCGTCTGTGCCATACGCGCGCAGGCAGCACGTTGCCACGGCAGCACGATGGCGCCGTCATGCCGCCACGACTTGACGTCGACGCCACGACAGCGCGACGCCACGGCAGCGCGTCGAGACGGCCGCGGCAGCACGACGACGCCGCCACAGCAGCACGACGTGGCCGCCATGGCAGCGAGAGAGAGAGAGAGAGAGAGAGAGAGAGAGAGAGAGAGAGAGAGAGAGAGAGAGAGAGAGAGAGAGAGAGAGAGAGAGAGAGAGAGAGAGAGAGAGAGAGAGAGAGAGAGAGAGAGAGTGGAGCGTGCGGCGGAAGCGTGGGAAGCAGGCATAGGAAGAGCAGCCTGCTCTGAAACTATGTCAAGGAAAGCTAGCTAGAAAGAGGAAGCAATGGAAGGTCGTGAGGTTCTAGGCTAGGAAAAATATTGAGAGAGAAGAGAGTTGGAATTGAAGAGAGGAGGATATAAGAAGGGGGGTTGTACCCTCTACATTAGAATCCAGTAACACCTACCAAGCCTACCATTATATATACCTCAAATATATAAATTATCACGAGGGTTGCACCAGCATTTGTTGTTATTAGTTCCTTAAGTGAGTATGATCTCTTGTATTAGCACAGCCTCCTACAGCGCAGAGGCTGCGCTATGTTGTGGAGAGTCTGATCTCCACGGCACTGCTTTTCCAGATCTGTGGAATATGTTGCCGATTTCTCTGGAAAGATCCCCGCCAATAGGAAATTCGGAGGTGCTTCCTCATGGTTGTGCAACCCGTAATTTACGGAAATCACATTGCTCGTGTGTGTTCATCTCCCAGGAGTGTGGTACTGTACAGTAGTTGTGGGAGAACTTTCTTGACGGGTAGGCTTTCGCACGAATCCAGAAATCATCAGCAGGGCAGCGTTCCTTCGCAATCCCATTGGCTCGAAGCCTGTATTGATGACCGATTCCACTGCGCACCGATGCCCAACCGGGTTTCAGATGAAAGAATTGCAGACCGGCAAGATGACGGACCAGTGAGCTTGTTCGACCTATCCATCACGTGACGTTCTTGGTCGAACAGCTGCCCGTCCGTCCCGCCAAAGGCCCGCCATTCGTCGACTGCATTTTATCCATTCTTGCCCTATCCAGTCAGAACCAACCTGGAGCTTCAAAAGTTTCGCGGGCTATGAGCAATCTGACCGCCATTCTCACTTGCGCCCTAACCGCCCCGCACCAGGCGTCTGGAAGTCAGGGTAATTATTCTGCTTTGTCGAGGAAAACAGGGTAAAAGTTCAACCTAGCCTTGCTTTTGACGCGTTCAGAATATCGATACCCGTCCATGGACAGGCAAGCCAAAATCAATCCACTGCCGATTTTCGAGTAGGGGATGGACTCACCCTGTAAAATCTAATGTAGAGTTCGCACCCCTAGAAAAAATGGCTCCCCCTGTCATTGTCAGGAGTGGCACATTCCGAGCCAGTCGTAACTCTGGCCTGCAAAAACAGTCAAAAGTTTTCGGGCTACCCAGCCTGGACAAGTTGGATCTTGGGCAAACTCGGATTCTGCAGGGTGACCCTTAGGATACCGAGAGGCCTGCCCCGCACATTAGCAACCCGCCACGCCAAGCCTTCGCACCGCGAGAAAACCCTTCCGTCCGTCGCCCCTCCATCACTAATGAAGCCGTTTGCAGGCAGGCGAACACAGGGCAACAAACACTTGCAGCGGAAGCAGCCCCCTCTCCTGCTCCCCCGACCCCACCATCTCCCACCCCCGCCTCCGCCCCAAACCCCTCCCTCCCTCCCCACCTCCCCCCATCCCCAACCACAGTTTCATCCGCTCCGCGGACTGTCCTGCGCAGCAGCGTTCTTTTCCGCTCTCTGGACCGAATCGGCTGGCCTTTCCCGTGCGAAAGATTGGGCGAGCCGTGCCGTGCCCCCCGCATTTCGTCTAGTGTGTCCGCCTCCCCTCTCAGCGCCTGCTCCTTCGCTGATTGGGCTGCGCTGTTTTGAGGAGAAATTTCCTGAGAAGAATGCACAACCCACAAACAAGTACAAACCAGCAGCTCCCCTCATCACAATCACCAGACCTTCAGTTAGCAGCATCACCCACATAGAAATCAAGGCATCAGGATAGCGAGGCTCATAAACCTGCTAGAAAACACTGAGGCCAGAGCGAACGCGAACTCGACATCGCGCCCAGAATGCATTCAAGCCTGCTGAAATCGGTACTGAAGCAGAACTTTCCCGCTCCAAGTGGTGCTGAGTTAAGAGCGCCTGAAAGCAACGCTTCTAGCACACCATCTCCAGCCAGCCCGGCCAAGAAGATGAAGCAAGAGAAGCCTTCTAGCCTCACCAAGACCATCAAGTCAACCAAGTCAACGACAGCGCCTTCTTTTGACCGAAACAGCAAGAACTTGCCGCGTGCCGTATGCTTATGTGCGCCTACGAACCACCCGGGCTCTTTTCGCTGCCGCTTCCACCGCGCGCGATCAGCCTCCTCGCAAAAAGCCGCATCGTCGGAGTCTAAGGGGAACGGCAGAGGCGACTGCAGGGACCGTGCTGCGAGGACTTCCAGGCCCAGCCGGTTATCTGCTGTTTCCGTGCAGGTTAGTCGACGCCGTGCGACAGTTATGCCTTTTCTTCCCCTCAATTCGGCCGGCATTCATGCGAGAGCATTGAAAGATGTGGTCCTGGTTGATCTCTTCTGTACCATTGATGCTAGTCCGCACTCCCTGCCCCTTCATCCCCCCCTCTGCTTCGCCTTTAGTCCAGCACCTTTAACTTTATTTTCTCCCTATCCACTGCCAATCATGTTGTGCAGGCCGCTTAAGGGCTGCAAATTGGAATTGTCAAGACGCTTGCCTCCCCTGGAGTGTCCATTTCCTGCCTTCGGATCTCCCAGCTTCGCCCGGACAACCGCTTGCTGTCCCCGCTGCAACAACCTTCTGCCGATTCTGTTTCAATCCGTGTAGACTGTTTTCATGAGCCGCTTGCTTTCATGCGCTGCAGCACGATGCCGTGCCATGGTGCGACGTCATGCAGTGTTAACCGTCATACCATGACATCCCATCCCATCCCATTTTATGGCATGTCATGTCATCCCATCCTATCATGTTACATGTATCATTCCATGCCGTGCCATATCACGCCGCGGGCATCGCACAGCATCAAGGACGATGTTCCCTGTACCTAGCAATTGCACAAGACTCGGCTGGGGCCAAGCAAGAAGGGGTTAGCAGCAGCAGCAGCGCTGCCTGTGCTGCTTTTTTCCTCTTTTCTGTGGCCTGCTGCTCGCTGTCCACTCCAGCCCCTGGGCATTCTGCTCGCTTCATGCAGCTTTTTATGCCAGTCATGCCGAGTTCATGCTGTATGACCTGTAGGTCGTGTTCCAATGCCTGTCCCTTGTATATATTTCCAGTTATTTATTACTGTTGGGCTGAGAAAAAGCCTTAGGACCTTTTCAGAGATGTGCAAAACGCTTGAGTAGTGCAGTGGAAGTGTTGAGTAGTTGGACCCTTGCACTAGTATGTGAGCAAGTGATTGATTAAACGAAACAAGCATGCAGCAATATATAGAAAATAAGAAATGAAGCAGATGTAGAATACAGTTGAGGGAACAGTTATCGAGTCGCACAGCGGCTTGATTGTCTGTTCGGTTACCACCCTTGCAGTCACAACGGTCAATCGCAACCTCCAGTTGCGACCCTTCAAGTCCCTTCGCCCTTTCGTATTCTTGTGTTCATCCTCCTCGTGTGACCTCCGTTGACTCGCGTACCCGAGACTACTTTCCTCGAGTGTAGTGTTACACTTCAGAAACGCTCAAGTCTTCGAGGTATTTCCAACAATTACCATGCAGCAGTCCAGCAAGCTGGAGAATTGAAGGCTGGTAAGCCCACCTATGCAGCAAAGTAGGGGTGCTTCTGCCTCTTCAGTCCATGTTCACGTAGTATTCCTTTAATATTCTGCAACAGTAATCAAGTGGCTGGCTGGCCTAGCCGAACTGGAGGCAGAATCAAGTTGGTTCAGAAACGTGCGGTACTGTGCGGTGCTAGTGCTGGAACCACGTTTCATAGTAGGTTAGGTCCCCCCCCCTCTCCCCTAGCCCGCCCACGCTTCCGCCCCTAGGCCCTAGCCGCCGTCGCGCCCGCCCCTAGCTGGACCCCTGGCCGTCGCGCCCGCCCCTAGTCGGCCCCCTGGCCGTCGCGTCCGCCCCTATCCGGGCCCCTGGCCGTCGCGTCCGCCCCTAGCCGGCCCCCTGGCCGTCGCGCCCGCCCCTAGCTGGCCCCCTGGCCGTCGCGCCCGCCCCTAGCTGGCCCCCTGGCCGTCGCACCTGCCCCTCGCTGCCCCCCTGGCCGTCGCGCCCGCCCCTAGCTGGCCCCTTGGCCGCCGCGTCCGCCCCTAGCCGCCCCCCTGGCCGTCGCGCCCGCTTCTAGCCGGCCCCCTGGCTGTCGAGCCCCTCCTAGCCGACGCCCTGACCGGTTCGCGCCCGCTCCTAGCCAGCCCCCTGGCCGTTCGCGCCCGCCCCTAGCCGGCCCCCTGGCCGTTCGCGCCCGCCCCTAGCTGGCCCTCTGGCCGTTCGCGCCCGCCCCTAGCCGACCCACTCGCCGTCGCGGTCGCCCGCAGCTGTCGTCGCGACCGCCCCGAGTCGTTGCGGCTGCCTCTAGCCGCTGTCGCGGCCGTTTCCCGCCGTCCCACGGCCGCCCCTCGCCGTCGCGCCCGCCCCTAGCCGCCGTCGCGCCTGCTCCTCGCCGTCGCGGCCGCCCCTAACCGCCGTCGCGGCTGTCCCTGGCCGCCGTCGCGGCCGTGTCTACCCGCCGTCGCGACCGCCTCTACTCGCCGTCGCGCCAGCTCCTAGCCGGCCCCTGCATTCGCGTCGTCGCCAGCCCGCTGCCGCCTCGGGTTCGGTCCGTTCTTCCCGATCAGCACCGCCCTGCAAACCCCCCGGTACCGTACTGCACCGCTTTGCACCGCGTTGCACCGCACTATACCGCACTGTGCCGCACTGCACCGCACCGCACTGCGCCGTACCGCATCGCACTGTACTGCTCTACACTGCCCTCTATTGTCACTGATGGCGGAGGTGCTTCGCGTTGACGCTAAGGGCCAGCCGATTGAGTTTGATGCGTGGCTTGCTGACCTCCGTCGCCACCTCACTGGTCATCGGCAGGATGGCCACTCGCTGTTTGTCCATCTTGATGGTACCCTCCCCTGCCCTGAACTCCCCGTTGCACTGTCTCCTGACCCTTCGTCCGCTGAGCATGAGTCCGCTGCGGCCGCTGCCCTTGCTCGCTCCGTCTGGCTGTCCAATGACGCTGTCGCACAGCTTGCTATTAGCAATGCCCTTCCCCTGTCCGAGCGACCTCGCTTCAGGTCTATCACCACTGCCCAGGCTTTCCTAGATGCTGTTGTCCAGCGCTATTCCACCCCGCCTGCTGCCTCGGTAGGTCGCCTAATCCTCCCCATGCTCTTCCCTGACCTTCCATCGTTCCCCACTGTCGCCGACCTGGCCGCTCACCTGCACACTATAGACGAGACCTGGCGTGCTGCCTGCACTGACACACAGCTTCTAGCCCACCAGCTGCCCCTCACCTCTACTCTCTATCTGCTAGCCACCAGCCTCCTTGACCGTCTTGCCACTGCCCGTGACCACTTCCTTAGCGTCCGCCCTGCAGACCTCACCCTCACTGACTTTGTTGACACCTTGTCCGCTATAGAGGCCCGCCACAGCTCTATCGCATAGACCAGCGGTACTATGCCGGTCCCTATCTTTCAGGGTTGTGCCCCCGCTCAGTGCACCTTCTCCAACGGTCCTGCTGCTGTGGCTGAGACTGCCGCTGCAGCACAGGTCCGTCCGGGGAAGGGTCGCCGCCCCAAGGCTGGGCGTGGCGGCGGGGGTGGGGGTGCAGGTGTAGGTGGTGCTGGTGCTGGGTCTTCCGGCGGTGGTGCGGACGAGGGGACCCAGATAGGTGCAGCCGAGCAGCCGTCTCAGCAGCCGCCAGTGTTGCAGCCGGACCCACGTCAGCCGGAGCAGCCGCAGCAGCAGCAGCACCCGCAGCAGCAGCAGCAGCCGCAGCAATCGCAGCACCCGCAGCAGTCGCAGCAGCAGCAGAGACGGGCGAGTGGTCTCCCGCCCGGGTGGCTTGGCGCTGGTGGTAGCGCTGGACGTGGTGGTGGTGCGCGTGGTGGGCTGCCGGGTGGTGGTTCGGGTGACGCGCGTTGTTAGTACCTGCTCCAGACCGGTCCTCGCCGTGGCTTCGTTTGCGGTAAGATTGGTCACACCTCCGTCCGCTTTTCCGTCGCCTGGACGACCTGTTTCGTCAGCGCTTCGGCCTGTCGCCCGAGCTCCCAGACTGGCACAGCTTGCTTCGTCGTAGGGTTCAGATTTTTGATCTGGATATGGATGAGATTATTAATGCTATGCATGTGATGTATGCTGATGACTCTAGTGTGCTTCCATCTTATTACCCCTTGTTGCCTAGTGTAGGTGTGCCTTGCTTAGACTCCCCTGCTGCGTCAGGCGTAGGATCCCCTGCTTTAATTAGCCTTGGTGCTTCCGTCACTGCTTCACCTCCGGCCGCCACTGCGCTTTCCTTCACCCTCGACTCTGGCGCTTCCCGGTGCTTCTTCCGCGACTCCACCACGTTGACACCGCTTCCTGTCCCTGCCGCAGTCTATCTTGCTGACCCCTCCTCCGGCCCTGTAGTCGCCCGCAGTTCCACCACCCTCCCTTGCCCGGCGGTTCCTTCGGGCTCGCTCACAGGTCTGCACAGCCCCTCATTCTCTAGGAACCTAGTTGGTGTCCGCAGCCTTCAGGACCTTGGCGTCACCACTACGTTCTTGGATACGAGCAGTATGCTGTCTGTACCAAGACCGCCACTGGTGCCGCCCTGTCCACATTCCCACGGGACCTGGTGTCCGGTCTTTTCACACTGGACACGGTGACCCTCCCGGCTGGAACCCCCCCTCGGGTGGTTGCGTCTCCTCCGGTTGCTGCTGCCTGCTCCTGTCGGTCTCTCACCCACCCGACCCTTCTCTGGCACCACCGCCTAGGTCACCCTGCGCTCCTGCGTCTGCGTCACATGTCACAGCACGGTCTCGTCCTAGGCCTCCCCGGGTCGTTCCCCGAGTTTCCCTCCTCTCCAGTCCCACCTTGCACGCATTGTGTCGAGGGCCGGCTCCGCCGTGCCCCTCACTCGTCCTCATTTCCCCCTACTGCAGCACCGCTACAGACTCTACACATGGACGTCTGGGGCCCCGCCCCGTCCATGGGCCGCGTCGAGAGCGCTACTTCCTAGTGCTTGTCGACGACTACACGCGCTACACCACTGTGTTCCCCCTGGAGCGGAAGGCCGACGTGCCTGCCGTTCTTATCCCATGGCTTGTCCCTGCGCGTGTCCACCGCGGTCTCCCTGTCTTGCGCCTCCACTCTGACCGTGGTGGCGAGTTTGCCTCCGGTGTCCTTGGTCGTTTCTGTCGTGCGGAGGGCATCACCCAGACGTTCACCTTGCCGGACTCTCCGCAGCAGAATGGGGTCGCTGAGCGACACATTGGTTTGGTCATGGGGTGCCCATCAAGGGCACCCCATTTTCTCTGGCCATTCGCCTTTTTGCTACGCCACTCACCAGCTTAACCTGTGGCCGCACCCCCAGCAGCCTCAGGTTTCGCCGACCCTTCTTTGGTCTGGGTCCCCTGGTGACGCGTCTGTGTTTCACGTCTGGGATTGCCTTGCTGACATTCGTGCCTCTGGCACGGACAAGCTCACTGCCCGCACCCTTCCTTGTGTCTTCCTCGGCTTCCCCCTTGATGCGTCTGACTAGCACTTCTACCACCCGCCGTTTCACCGGTTCTTTCACTCCCGCGACGTCACCTTTGACGAGTCCATCTCCTTCTTCCGCCGCTTCCCCCACCGCGGTCCCCCTATTACCCCCACCTGTTCCTGGTCACCCCTTCACCGGTCGTCGCCGCCCCTTCTCCTCCCCCTCCCCGTCCTGCCCCCTCTGGTGTGTCCCACGTCACCCCACTGCCGTCAGTTGTCCCGGTTGAGGAGTCTGCTGACTCTCGTGGTCCTGCGGCGCAATCCTCGCCACCTGCCCCTTCTCTGGTGTATCCTCCTCCGCCACCTCTGCAGCCGCCGTCGCCATAGCTGACGCAGCCATCGGCACCGCAGCCGCCGCAGCAGTTCGTTGCCTGTGGGGGTGCTGGCATTGAGTGTTCTGGAGGTAGCCGCCAGGCAGCTTGCGGTCCCGGTGTTGGTGTCACACCACCGCCGCAGCAGTCCCCGCCGGTGTCTGCTCTTTGCCTGCTCGGCCTTCCGTTCCCTGATCCCGTGCTTGTGCCTCCTCCTCCTCCTGTCTACGGCCCTGTGTTCCCTCCTCCGGACTCGTCTCCGGCCAGTTTCCCCCCTCGTTCCCCTCTTGTGTCCCCTCCTCTATCTCCTGACCCGACTCCTCCGTCTCACGT